TACCAGAAGCTGCGGCCAATTTTTGGCAAAAGTACCCAGAATCCTACTTGGCATTAAAAGTCTGGTTATTTTTTATCCCCTGAAATAATGTACTTACCAGGCACTGTCCATATGCCCAAATGAGGAAAATTAAAGATTTATTTTGACCAATAAAGAAACTTCCTCTTGCTCACTTAGAACCCAAGTTTTAAAAATATACACAGAATCTCAGTCTAAAGAAACTTATTTCCCCTGAAAATGATTTTTAACAATTTTCAGCAAAAGAAATTGATTTGATGGTATTTTGAGAGTGATCCAGTGAAAGACACTTACTTTGATCTTTTTGCTTCTGCTATAAATAGGACAATCGATGCTTAGAATTGACTAGAATGTCTGGTTGGTATTGTTGAAGTCTGGATTCTAGGATGGACAAAAGTCTCTGTGTCTGAATACAAGCTTTTACTTATGCATTCCTTGAGAAACATTATTATTCTTCTTTGGGTTTGGGGGCCACATCTGCTGATACCCAGGGCTTCTGATTCTATTTTTAGGGATCAATCCTAGTGGTGCTCTGGGGACTATCAGCTGTGCCAGAGTCAGCAACATGTATGAGAAGTGCCAGAGTGCACTACCTGGCCCCTCAAAATAGTATTTCAAAATTTTATTTAGTAGCTTGTGTATGGTTGACTAATCTCATGGCCCTGGTATAAAAATCAAACTATGACTATGCCCTGTAAATTGGATGGAGATAAAAATAAAAAGTCTCTTTTCTTTGCTCACCAATTAATTTCCTAGAGGAACTGCTTTAGGATTAGTTCCCTTAAGGGGTGCCAATGGACAATGACTGAGTTTGGGGGTATCTTTTATTATTTGCATATCAAATTTTTCAGTGTATCTTTTGGCCCCAGAATTTTAAAAATTAAATCTGAGCAAATCATGGAATAGTTATTTGTACATAGCTCTGAATAAGTTGAAAACTTTACTTGATTGCATATTTTGATATGCAATCTACTTCACTAGGAATTATCCCTGTATACCTTCTATGTTTATACCACTTCCCACTTAGAAGGATCTAAAATTAGTTTCATGCTATGTATCTATAGGTATAAAAGGCTATAGCTGTATAATCAGTGAATGCTACTTTGACCATAAAAATGTATTTTTTGTTATTCTAGGGAAAATAGAAACTTTCGGGGGAGGGAAGCTTATACACCCAGCAGTGCTTGGGGATTACTCTGAGCTCTGTGCTCACAGGAAGCTGGTAGTACTCAAGGGGCTATTGTATGCCCGAGGATTAAATGAGCTATTGAATTGGCTGCATGCAAAATAAGCAATTTAACCCCTGTTCTCTCTCTCCAGCCTAATGACCATTTTTAAAAAACAACATTTTAGTGAGAGGTAAGTAACTGAGAATTTTAAACTGGAACCAATAGCAATATATCACTCACTACCAAAAAAAATTTTTACTTTATTCAATTTTCCATTGGAGATTTTTTAAAATTCTCAAATGTTCATGAATCTCAGAAATTACAAAAAGACAAATACCAGCACATGATTTGAAATATTTCACCCCCCCTTATATTTTAGATCGAAAGGAACTGAGTTTCAATGTCAACAGTAATTTGAAGACTTACTCTAGAAACAATCTTTGAGAATTTTATTCCTCTTGACACAATTTAGTCATTCATAATAAACGTGTTATTGAGGAGTCAATAATGATGTATTCAATAGACTTACTATGAAGAATTGATTAGAAATGATGTGATTTTACTTGAGTAATGACCTTTCTTGTCTGCAATAATCCATTGTGAGAACAGTGCGTACTTGGCTGGTTTGAAAGTCATAAGGGGCAATACTGAGGCAGATGTACTACAATTCAGGTAGAAAAGGGATCAGCTTCAAACATTCTGTAACACCAAGTTGTCTGATAGAACAATAGTGGAGTAGAAAAGCCTAAAGATAGAAACTGCTAGGTTGCACTTTTGTTCTGATTCCCTTGATTGTCTCATGAACATTCCCATCAAAATATATGCATCAACATTCTGTAGCTTTGACTTCAGCACCTAGATCTACAATGGAGCATCTATAGTAGAAACATGGGTAAATAACTATTTCTTTCAGTGCTTTCGGTGTCTTTTAGCAAAGGCATAAAGAGAAGTCTGATATTCCAGTTGAGGGTTTGCTCTTATTTCTAGGAACATCCTGAAGGGGATTTCTCTGTATAACTTCACGAAGTTTCCAACTGGTGCACAATAGATACAAGTGCAAGGATAAGAAATCACAAATTCCTCAGAAAAATGGACTTAAGGCACATAAAATCAGTAGGAACTTTGGCTTGACAGATTTAAACCTTTAACTCTGAAATGTACAGTTCTCAACTACTTTGGACTTAATCATTTTCACTAGGTAGGACAATAAAAATATTACTATCAGAAAAAGAAAATTCACTCAGATGTATTTAAAATTAAGTAAACCAAACCTTCAACTTTTATGCCATGCTGGAAGCAAAGAAGAAAAAATAAGATATGCAGATGTATGAAATGAACCAAAGAGAAATAGTTCAGAGATAGTTTGATACCAATTCCCCCTATTAAAGCAAAAATGACTGCAGTAGCTATTACAGCAGCAAAGCATAATTACCAAACAGTCTTATCTCTAACTAGGAAAAAGTTAATCCTCTAGTTTCAAGCGATAAACAATCTTTCAATCTTTCAATAAAATTCAGTTGAGAGATGGAGAAATGGATTAGAGTGATGTTGGATTGTGGTTGAACAAGTGACCTTTATGGGTCTCTCTAAGTCAGTATATGATCCCACGTATTACTGTAAAGAAAAACTTACGGTAAAGACAAGATGATAAAAGTGTTACCTTATAATTTTTGACTGCTAAAATTTGCTTATTAGATAAACCCTAAGTTTTTCTCATTCCATCCCTGGGGATACCTGGCAAAGTCTGGAGTGAGCTGGGACATGGATGAATTATCAGAGTCAGTATCGGAAGCTGTCCAACATCCAGAAAAGCAGAGAAGCAGCTCACCTTTAACTCCATATAACAGACTCGTGGGGTCCAAAACCTCAATTGACTCAGGCTGGGAAAGCCTGTGACAATCTCAGAAACTAATCACACACACCTAAAGTGCAAATGCTTCTTTGATACCCTTGTGCTTCTTGAGTTCTTAAAACTCAGGTGTTAATCAATGAGTCACACCAGAAATACAGGTGTCTGAAAGTAAACTTAGTACAATGTGGCCATAAATAATTCATTTATGTCCTGCAAAAGAAGTCCTTTTGGGATGGGGATAAACTTGGATGAGTAAAAACTTCTTCCAATGAAAATAAGAGATTGTTTGAAAGAGAGGGAGTGACATAGATGTATGATGAGACATAATACTGCAGTCTTCTGGCTATTACTCTGTATTTCCCTATCAAACTAGAAGAGAAATTGGAAATAGTAATTGGACAGGGTCAATATTGAGTTTAATTTCTTGTAAAGTTGTGCTTGAGAATTTCACCTCATTACCAATATCAGGTGACATGCCTGACCTCTCATTATTTGTACTTAACACTCTATTTGTCACTGCAAAATGTAGCTCAGAACTTGGTTTCAGTATGTGCTCAGTAAATATGTATGGGAACTGAATGCTTCAATGAATAATAATGGGTGCTCTATGAACAGTAAAGTGTTTTAAAGACACACAAGGTACTATGACTAGTGGACATAATGCAATTGATCTCATCAATTTTACTCAAAAAAACTTCGTAGGTGAAAAAGTTGAGGTCTTTTTTGAAAGCAAGTAGAAACTGTGATTGTATATAGGGTAAGAAAACATACTATGAAGTTTTTTTGTTTTTAGGAGAATCTGGATAAAAGTAATATAAGTAAAGCAATGGAAGAATGACTTCAAGTGATGGATGAGAAATAGTTTCATTTAGATGGGCTAGACAGGGTCAGAGAAGGGACAGACAAAGAAATCAATGCAACACTTAAAACATGAAATTATTGATTGTAAATATGCTGCTATCCTTAAGCAACATGAAAGATTGATCTCCATCAGAAGAGAGAGCCAGATTGTCCATATGGAAGATAGAGTGAGCTTTTTGAATGGACTCAATTTCTGACCCAGGAGTGAGAGACAATGAAACCTAAAATAAAAATGAACAGTCATGGTCAGTCAAGAGTTCTAAGTCCCGGATTCACTTTTGTCACTGGGAATTTGACTCTATGTCAGTGCCTTAATTTCCTCCTCTGTTAAATAAAGGACTTGCAGTAGATGATCTCTGATGATTATGGCACATAATGTTGATGCCCAAAATGAAGGATGGTGGGAAAGAAAAAGCGAGAGTATGTACTTAGAGTTACTTACAAACTTAAAACACTTAAAAGGAGATGCTAATTCCAAAACACTTGGACTGAGCAAAGCATGTTTTTTGTAAACCGTCTAAAAACTTCTGAAGAAATACAATGCAAAATGACATTTCACAGGGGGCGAGAAACCATAACCACAATCTCTTTTTATCAGTTAGTAGCATACAAATATTAATTTCTTATCATGGAAGTGTCTAGAAACAAGATATGGGCTCTAGCGAAAACTTGTCAGATGGGAATCGGGTGGGGTTGGCACATTACCAGTTAACTATTCACTCACGAAGAGTGAATTAACATGTTTTTGCTCAAATATAATAACTTACATTAATTTGAGAATGTTACCTGTGTATTCACATAATTCAAAGTAACTACTTTGTGTTCTTCCTTTCTTAAAGTCTACATTTACAAACTTCAACATAAAATTAAGTTCCACATATTTTCATATCTTAATGTGGCCTTTGTATCATGTTTGAGTTATAGGGTTTAGAGAAATATTTCAGAAGGATTTGAGTGTTTTCCTCTAAAGAGGAGCCTGGACCTCCCTTGACTCTTGGTAAAGAACACGGTGGGATAGCAGGGATGCACACATGGGGTCTTACTATGGCAGAGAGAGTTGAGAAAATGGAGAAAAGAATTAAGTAGAGAAAATAATTAAGAAAAAGACATTGAGTTGGGGGAAGACAGAAATTTGAATAATTATGCTATTTTAAGTGTATTCTCTTTTGGCATTTTTTTCAAGACATGTATTGATTTGATGATGTCTCAGTACTTTTAAGCTGGCAGACTTTGCTTCTTCTGAGTACAAACATGTGCTACTTCCAGAGCAAGAGAAGTACTGTCCAGGGGTGAGACCCGGGGACAGCCAGACTTGCGCACCTTCAGGCAATCTGCACAATAACAACTTTGCAAGAAAGACAGGACAAAAATATTTTTATTTTTCAAAATTGCAAGTTGAGACTTATGGAGGTTAAAGTGAGTTTCCCAAAGTAACAGAGTATAGACTCAAAGCTGTTAGCTGATACTCTTTTCATGATGCCAAGCTACTTGTCTGAGATCAAAAAATACCTAGATATGCCTGAGAATGATAGAAGCTTCTCTTTTCCTTGTTCTTGTTCTTCTTCTTTAAGGAGATGGAATTCAAAGGAGGCACCTCCAAGCACCTGCATGAGAGAAGCTGCCTGATGATGCAAATATTCTGTGATGTCCAATACGGCAGTCACAGGGCACATGTTATCCATGTGACCAAATAACTGAATTTTTAAAATTTTTATTTGAAAAATTTAAATGGCCACACGTAGCTGGTGGAAATAATATCGGACAATACAGTTCTAAGAAGCCATATATGAAGGAGATTTGCAAATGGTACAGGTATCTCAAACTACAATGATCAAGGGCGGGGAGTAAAATTATACTGCATCATTGATTCTTAATTTTCAATTTTTTAATTCAAACTAAAGTCCAAACCTTACATAAGTAAACCAATACTGGGGTTGATGCCAACTGACTGGTTTAGATAGTCTTCTTAATTTTTAAGTAACTTTATCAAATTATTTAATATTTTTACAAATAATTCAGATGAAATAACTAACTTCTTCTGTAGCACCATTTGTCTGATTTTCCCAGAATTTTAGATGTTCCTTGGCTCTTAAGTTTTAGTTTTTTAAATTGTTATCATGATTTTCTCTTTACCCTGTCATAGCATATGAAGAACATTACAGATGCTGTTTTTCTAATACTTAATATACATAAAGTCTAAAGTGTCAGCAGCTATTTCGAGTTTCCAGAAACTTTGTGTGTTTGCTTTTTGTAGTAAATGGGCACCAAGAACAAACCAAAAATATAGAATAGTACAAAAGTTTCACCAAAACAACAAATTCAGTTTTCCCCTGTATCACTAAAAGTTTCATATACAACAGGGACTTACTACCTTTAACTCCTAGTTGGGTTACAAAATTTCTCCATATTCAGCAGTCTTTATCCTTTCAAAACACTTTCTCTTACTAGGTATTTTCATCCACGCAAAAATTCAGAGAGTTATACATTTTTAACAAAATTTCCATTTCTTTTGAATCATAAATGGAAGTTGAGCTCTGAAGGGTGTAAAAATAACATGATTATTTCAAAGAATTGTGTAAGGAGTTGGATATATGTGTAGGATTTATGAAAATTATATAGATTTATGTAACTGTCAATCAAACTGCTATTGGAAGCCACGCCTACCATGAAAGCTAGTGAGAGTAGCATCCTCTTATCCTAATAGGAATCGTCTATATGTCCATATGTCTTTTCAGAATACCAGTTGCACCAGATAGATTGGCAAGTCATTTGATTATTGCTATCTGAGCACACCTACTTCATGACAAATAAGTTGGGGTATTTCCTATAAACTGAACGTAGCTACAGCAGAAAGATTGTCATCACATCCTTCAATCATCTTGCTTGTCAGTTTGTTTGCAATTATAACTAGGCAGATTAGAAAAAAATGATCACCCTCACCAGGTATTTAAAAAAGTAAAGCAAAATATATGGATGGAGAATGGCATGAGTTTACATCAGACAATTGTGAAGATAAAATATAATATGTGGTTAGTGAACTAATGTCGTTCAATGTAGACACTGTGTACAGATGCTAAGCAGTTAGTAAAGTGCTATTTAGGAGACATTGCTGCTTCTTAATACCTGAATCTGCAAATATTGGACACTGTGTCTATAAGAACCAACAGCATCTTGGCACAGAATGTGAATCTCATCTAGTGAGATGTTGATGGAATTATACACACACAGTACCTGGATTTTACCTTTAGGAGCTTACTGTAAGATTAGCTATTTGCCTCTCAGAGAATACTTTCCCTTTCTTCATTCATGGGGACATTTCAAAATCTGGGTTGCGATTACAGGACAAATGACAACTAGCTAATGAGTTTTTGCATCTGCACTATTTAGTCAGGGAGGGAAGGGATCGGACTGAATAAAAGAGTGGCTCAAATGGCAGGAAAGTGATTGACCCTGCAACCAATTGAGCCATGTTTGCTGAGTGGCATAAAAATATTCTAATATTAAGGATTATTTTACAACTCTATGGAAGTATGCAATAATGCAGCTTGCATTGGTTTTGTCTTGAGGACAAAATGCACTCAGAGTCACAAGAGCCTGCCTTGTGTTAGTTATAAACAAAAATATATTTATATATATATTTATGTAACTACTATGTGCTTTAAAGAAAATGACTGTATGAGCCAGCAGGGTTCTTTCATTCTTTTTATCACCAGGGAAAGCTTGACTTGAATGGCTTCTTAGGCAGGAATCCACAATGAAATGGGGCTTTAGTATTAAAAGATTTAAAGAAAATAAAAAAGAAAAAATTGACCAAACACAAAAACCCATTCTGTTAAGAATTCCTTAGTATTTTTGCTTCAAAAACAATAAAGAAACTCTTCATATTGATTCTATTTGCTTCCTCAGCCAGAGCAATTGTGGCTTCATTGGACTTGGCAGAAAGGGAGAGGAGGCGATGTTCCACAGCCAGTCAAGTCATTTTTATCCACAGGCATTGAGCCCTGAGCCTCTGTGACCTCCCCATCTTCCTACCCCCAAGCTGAGAGTTTAGAAAAACCAACAGAGCTCAGAATAGGGCCCCGTGAACACGGAAAAGGGAGTTAACCTTTGCACCTTTGTACAGGTCAAGATTGGTCTTTGTCATGAAATGGACTTGTTGGAACAGGTAGATCTGACCAGAAAAAAATGAAATCTGTTGGCCATGCATCAGGTGATAAGATAGAAAATCTCTCACTTTGTCTTTTGCTCCTGCGTGAGCTCTTTTTTCTCAGCCATCTCAACACATTCATCATTGCTCTTTTGAGAGAAAGGGTTCAGGCTTTGGAATAGTTATACCATTAAGAGATCAAAGAAGAGTGTCTGAGCCAAAAGCTGTAGATCCCTCAAGAACTAAAGCTTTAGTGTTGCTCTTTCCCCATCTCCCACTCCATCCTTTTGCAACCCTGCATCTAAGCCAATAGCATTATGATCTTCTTGTAAGTCCCCAGGAGAATGTTCTAGGTGAACCGTAAGTGTCATTCCACTAGGGAATTCTATGTTCAGTGGTAAATGGTATCTTGTTGAAGTTTTAGTTTTTCTTTTACCCTTTCTGGGTGCATTAAGCTTGTCCAGAAATCTCATCTCCTTCAGGCTACAGCAGCTTAGGGCTCCTGTGTGTGTGTGTGTGTGTGTGTGTGTGTGTGTGTGTGTGTGTGTGTGTGTGTTTATGTATAGGCAAAATTGTAGTCTGAACACCTGTAAGCCAGCACTGGTGCTGTTCTGTCCTCAGAGTTTTAGCACTGCTCTGAAACAATGAAACCTTCTTTCTCTCCAACTGGTTCAACTTCAGCATAGGCAGGGTGGCCAGAACCTCTTCGAAACTTCATTGCAGGCCATCTGCTTGGGCGCCTCTGAAATAGAAGATGCAGAGACAGTGAATAGCACAGTGGTGAGTGATGGTCACACCATCAGAGAACTCCATGAGCTGAATGACTACATTAACTTCTGGATTAAACATAGCCAACACAGTAAATGATCTCTCCTTGCCAGCAGGGTCAGGATGATCTACTCTCCAATATGGCACTACTGATCCCTGACATAAGAGAGTACATTAGCCATACCTGTCTCCATGGAACTGAGAGCTTCTTAAAAGGGAAGAAGCTTGTCAGGATTCATGGCTATTTTGTCTAAAAGAACTTTGTAAGCTTCCAAGGATAACTAGGAAAAACTGAAGTATAATAGACAAATAAGTCTTATTATCTAAGCACATTCACATTCTTTTCTCTAGGAGTTAATCAGGGAATCACTCCATTTTTTCCTTATTAATTCACTCAAAATGCACATAAGGTTATAAACTTCTATACAGTTCTTAAAAGTCTATTTTGAATTAGGTGCTAGATTTGCTAGTGAATAACCAAACAAAAAAACACCATAAGATCTTGAGAAATTATTTGTTCAGCTAATACTTCCCATGTGATGTTTTGTGCTTGAAAATGAACAGATGTCATTCTCTGAAACAGATTCCACCATCAGAGAAAATATACCTAAAATAAATGCTATATGCATTGACCAAAGAGCCTGTTTCTCTCCTGTACTGCATTCATCAAAGGAACCTCTTGTGGTTTACAAACATAAGTGCTAAAATTAATTATTAAGTTATGGACGCAAAAGGCACCAGGATGCATTTCACAGTCATGTGCTATGAGACACTATAACTCCATTTATCAGAGTGCTTGCAATTTTGGAGTAAATAAGACAATAAATATTGAAGAAAGTGTCTTTCTGTCCAAAGAATTTTAATGTGAATGACATTAACTATGTGTGTAGATTTACTGGCATTTGGCAGCTTTCTCAACTTGCCAATTACTTTGCTTCGTCTGTGATTAATGGCTGTAAGAAGAGTTTTCACATCAGGTGGGGATGTGTGTGAGCTTTCCTTTCTGGAACAATATCAGTCCAGGTAATTGCATTCTACCAACTAGTAATGCTAACAACTACAATTGCATGCTACAAACTAGTAACTCAACTTTCCTTTGAACATTACGTGGTCAAAATGCTTGATACTAATTAGCTGATTAGGTCCACAGAGGGGAGAGGAACTGAATTATCCTTAGTTTTCCAAAGAAGCAGCTAAAATCTAAGAGTGCTGAACAGCAGGGGGGCTGGAGTGATAGCACAGCAGGTAGGGCGTTTGCCTTGCATGCGGCCGACCCAGGTTTGATTCCCAGCATCCCATATGGTCCCCTGAGCATCGCCAGGGGTGACTCCTGAGTGCAGAGCCAGGAGTAACCCCTGTGCATCACCGGGTATGACCCAAAAAGTCCAAAAAAAAAAAAGAGTGCTGAACAGCAGCCTGGGAAATCTTTGTTGGTACTGAAACTCATCACCCTTGGACATGTACTGAGCATTTTTAGGGAGACAGTCACTGAAACTCAGAGTCATGGCTCTTTGTCAGAAAGCCACACAGTGCTCACGATAGCCCCAACTTTGGATTTAGCTATTTTACAGCTGGGATTCTGCAGCCCTTACTGCCCCAGTCCAAACCCTGCATTAGCACCGCCACGGAGGTACTGTCAGTTCTTTCTGAGGCTTCCCTGGACTGTGGGGCCAGATTGCAAGGATCCCACGAGCCAGCACATGTTGGTAACAGCATATAAAAGTAGAGTGTGGCAGGGACATTCATGAAAAGGCAGGCGAGGAAGATGTTGATGACTCTTCCTGTGAAAAATATTCCCTGTATATTTTATGCTCTGGACTGAAATACTGGAATGTTTGTACTCATTTATGTATGACTTCAATGTTGGGGTAGAGGGAAATGATCGTTTACTAAATTCGGTATTTTGTTCCTCTGATCTTTGTTCCTCCTTCAACTGTTAGGATTCTAAAGTTTAGGGATATCAGTAGAAATGAATGCTAACAGAAATTATTTTTCTAGGTCAGTCTGAAGTAGTTCCAAGATTTCTTCTTGAAAGAATACCATTTCTAGAATTATAAGGAAATTTTCGAGAGCTTAGTTCTCATGGAAAAATCTTGAATACTGGGGCTAAATTATCTAAAAGTTGATGAAAATCTTTAGAAAAAACATAGTGTCAGGCTCAGCACACAAAGTGTGATATTCACAATGAGGCACTCATTTTCCATTCTTGGTTTTCAGACATTTCAAATCTGTTCTTTTTAGAATGGTTAATTCAAAATGTTACAGGAACTGATGGGGCTGAAGGGGGGGTTATTGTGGAGAGGGGGTACACGGGGTCACTTGCTAACAGAGCAGGATGTATGCTGAAAATGGAAAGATTCAAACCAGACTGTAATGTTAATTCATTGCAGAGATTCATGATGTAGAGCTTTAAAATGTTCCTAGGTGCGCTGAGTGGGTGATCTCTTGATTTCATTTCTGAGAATTATTCCTGTGATTAATCACATTCAGAAGTAAATGTTCGCACAGACAGGATGGCACAGGGTGGCCACGAAGGCAGGCATTCTCTCTAATTAATCGTTCTGTGCCATGAGCCAGCTGCAGTCATCCGGCTCGGTCTCTGTGGTCTGTGGCAATAATGAGCTGAAACATCCGCAAAGAAACCTGCAGGTCCCCTCACTCAGCAGTGGACACAGAGGTGCAGCTGCACAGTCCTCCAGCATGGAGGAGCAGCAGATGGTGCCTGGGATGGGTCAGTTGAACCCCTGAAAGGAGCTCTTAGAGGAAAGGGTCTTGCTTGAACTTTGAAGGCCCGGCCAGAAGGGCTACATGCTGCCACCTGGCACATTGCCAATGGTCTGGGAATTTCTACAGTGTTGGCTGCTTTTTTCTGGTGAACAGTGGAAAGAGGTTGGGGTGACGACCCAGCATCCCTATTCTGTCCCTCCCCAGCACAGAGCTCTGGGAATGTGACCTGCTCGCTTTGTTTCTTGATTTCCCCATCTGGAAAATAAGTGTACTGGATAATACTTTTCATACTTCTTTCTTCACCTTTTGTGATTACACTGACAAATAAAATGTTTCCACCACAGACCTTTTGTCCCAAGGCAAGGTGACCTGGAAGGCCAATCACATGACTGGGAAATGGTAGGTCTCTCTTAATTGTGATGGAGACGCCCCAAACCCTTACAGGCTCATGAGCCCAAAGAGAGCCTATGACTCCCACCCCTTCTCAGAGCACTATGTTGGAAGCTATGGAATGAAATGTGAATCTTGACTGTGCATGCACCAGGGGATGATGTTAAAATACAGATAGAGACCGATCTCACTCGTATGTAGGGTTGAAAACACAAGAATATAGCAATGAAGGGCCAAAGGCAGGAGAAACACACAATTGATTTTGGTGGCAGGGTGGTTAAAAGGGAAGGGTCTTGAGGTCCTTGTGGGAGGGAGGTGGGCATATTTGAATTCTCTGCATGGGAAAACACCACCAACAGTACTGTAAATCATAGGACTTCGATCAATGAAGTTGGTTTTTTTTTTCCTTTTTAAAGCAAACAAACAATCCACCTCCCAAACTAAAAATAGATACTATTCTTCTAGGTCGGGGGCCAAACTCAGTCAACAAGTGAGGTCCTAGGATACAGCTGCACCGATTCATAGCACACTTCATAATCAATAGGACCAATCTTTAAAAGTGGGTGAGAGAGAAACCAGTGAACTCTTCCCTCTTGGTGTGTGTTACAGACCCATAGTGGGAAGTGGAGGTGTGTTCCGAGAGCTGGGTCAGGGGGTTGTACTTTCTATATCTACCTTTGATAAGAGACTTCCCAGGGAAAATCCTGTTTTCTTTATACTTCTAAATGAAAATTATTCATTTTCTCCTTATTTTCTGTCAAGTTGGTGGTGTTTTTCTTAACAACTGATTTGTTTAGGATACTGAATTTAGCAAATAAATATACAGGACACCAATTAAATTGGAAGATAAACAATGAGAAATGCTTTAAAACTAAACTTCAGTCTTACTAAAATTTTTTTATCCTTTTTAAAATTTTAGTTAAAATATGTCTTTTTATTGGGTTGAACATAACTATAATTAAATGCATGGGCTTTGTGTTGAAACTTGCAAGCTGATATAAACGAATGACTGTTTGTAGCTGTGCCTATTTGCTTCTGGGGTGACAGTTCACTTTGCATCACATAAGACAGAGGTGGAGGTTCTGGGCACTTTGGTGGTCTTGGTGGGATGCAGTGATTGTGTACATCAAAACCATCAATGTTAACGCTATTATAACCATGCTACCTAAATAATTATAATTAAATAATAATTAAAATGATTATAATTAAATAATAATTTAAAAAATTTTAAGAAGTTGTAGTGAGGGCTGGAGTGATAGCACAGCATGTAGGGCGTTTGCCTTGCACACAGCTGATCCAGTTTCAATTCCTCCATCCCTCTCAGAGAGCCCGGCAAGCTACTGAGAGTATTCGTCCTGCACGGCAGAGCCTGGCAAGCTCCCTGTGGCATATTCGATATGCCAAAAACAGTAACAAGTCTCACAATGGAGACATTACTGGTGCCTGCTTGAGCAAATCGATGAACAATGGGTTAACAGTGCTACAGTGCTATGTCTGTATAGTATTCCATTGTGTTCATATAGTATGATATTTTTATCCATTTATCTGTTGTTGGAATTTGGTTTGCTTCATATCCTGGTTATTGTAATAAGTTCTATAACAAACACAGGGATGTATGTATTTTAAAATTAACATTTTTGTGTTGAGCTACACAAAAATGTGGCTACATTTATCTGTAACTTTTCTAGGATCTATCCTTTGAAACTGTAGCTCAGAACCTCATATGGGGTTTTAAAGTGGGGTTGCAGAAAATTTTAATAATATTGAAAGGTTTTTGAACTTGCAATGACCAAAAATTAATGCAAATTCAACCATGTAATGAATCCAAGGCGATTGTGGTAGTGCACTTGCCCTGTT